CAGGGTTTAGGGTTTAGGGTTTAGGGTTACAAGTGTCAAGGGCTGAAGACTCGTACCCCTAAGGTTGTATCCCTCAAGGTTCCCCTTAATATACTCCTAATATGGCCCTTATATTCCTTTAGGGATCTTTGAAAAGGGAACCCAAAACCCAAGGGTACAACCTTAAGGGTCCAAGGGGTCCAAGGTAGAAGCCCTAGAAAGTGGGGGCTCAGGGTTCGCAGGGAATCCAATACCCCTTAATTACCGGATAGTCCTTAGAATTTAAGAGGGTTCCTTAAATGTCTCACCCAGAGACTCCAAAACCTCTTAATCAAGGAACATGCCTTAAATCATATTAGGGTTCCTATTATGATTATCTAAGGGACATTCCTTAATCAAGGGGTTTTGGAGTCTCTGGGCAAGGAATATTCTTTAATTCAGGGGTATATGAGTCTCTGGGTCACAACTTAAGGCTTCAGGATTGCAGAGTTTGAGTTTAGAAGATTCTAGAAGCTTGTAGGGTTAAGGTTTAGACCCTAAACCCTAAACCCTAAACCCGAAACCCTAAACCCTAAACCCCAAACCCTAAACCCTAAACCCTAAGCTAAGAGGGTTAAGGTTTAGGACCTCAGGAGTTGAGTCATTTGCAGCGCAGCGATTTGTAGGGATTTAGGAGTCTTGGTGTCGTAGGAGGAGCGGCCCCCTTAACCTAACTGTAGTGATAAGGGGCTTATAACCGAATTTAGGATCCTTATAACCCAATTTAGGGTTCTTATAACTCTACTTATAGCTAAGGGGGGCCCCTAGGCGGAGAGGGATTAGGCTTCCAGCTTTCTTCTTGTGTGGCGGACGCCGGGACAACCCTTCGTGAGGCGTAGAAAACCTGGAGACTCCCAATACCCTTAGTGAAGGCATATTCCTTAAACCATATACGGAACCTCCTATACTGTACGGGATATTCCTTAATCAACTGATTAAGGAATATCCTTTAAATCATAATAGGAACCTAAATATGATTTAAGGTACGCTCCTTAATTAAGAGGTTTTGGAGTCTCTGGGTTTGTCTGCTTGGCCTTTGACAAGGGGTGCAGGGGGAAGCTTTGGCCAAACAAAAGCTCTGGGCCTGCGCATAGCAGCGGCAGCAGCCCTACCTCCAGCTCCTGCACCTGCAGCGGCAGCAGCCCTGGTACCTAGAGACTCCAAAACCTCTTAATTAAGGAACATACCTTGAATCATATTAGGGTTCCTATTAATGATTTGAGGGATATTCCTTAATCAAGGGGTTTTGGAGTGTCTGGGTAGTTGTGGATGATGGCACTCCGACAATGCCTCCACGAGCGCCCCCTTCAAGCCACTACGTCGGCTCCTGCGAACCGCTTTGAGCACATTGGGCACATGCAGCGGCGGAACCACAGCGATGGTGTGCGTAGCCATCTGTGTTTCTGTTGTTTGGAAGCTGCTTGTTTCCAGGATGGTGATGTTCATGTTGACGTTTCTTATCTTTCAGCTCATTACTCACTGCGGAAAGACAAGATAATCAGCAGTAGCAACACCAGTTTGGGAATTTAAGCGGACGTTGAGCAGCTAATTTTCTGCCGTGCCGGAAACATCTTCAAACAAAGCGCAAGTTGGCCCCTTCCCCCCAAAAACCTACACCCATCACGCTGGGTCGAAGCATTTCATGTCGACGCCTGAAAAAGCCAGCAAGAGGGACACTCGAAGACCTAGGATGAAGCATGCTCAGGGCGCGCGGACATTCAAAAAGCACGAAACCCTAGTCGCTAGTCGAATCGACCATCCTTCTACCCCCCGCACCTAGAGTGCACCTAGAGCAAGCCAGCCCTGCAGCCCGTCGTTCAAGCAGTTGCTTGACCTCTCCAAAGCTCTGGCTCCTCCACTTAGGATGCTCGTCTGACACAGCCAACTACTTACCCAGAGGGTTCATGAGTAGTACCATTGAAGAGTTGGGTCCCCGGGATCGAATTATACACTGTTTGGGGTTTTTCTGCTGAGCCATATTTTATGTTGCCGTCACTGTTGTAAAACAACCTCGCGCCGCGGTCAGATCAAGTATTCTGTGGACGAGCCCCTGCCGGCCCCGAAGGAGCCCATGGTTCTGGGAACTTATAGCCCTAATTATAACTTTACTTATCAGCCCCCCTAAGTTTTTCAAGTAGGTTATAAGTAGACTTATAACTGTGGTTAATAAGTACCAAAGTAGACTTCTAACCACATTAGGGCACTTACAACTGTGGTTGTAAGTAGACTTTTAACTGTGGTTATAAGTATTAATGAACCTCCAAGTATACGCTCCGGGAGAATCAGAGAGTCCTAGGCTAGAAGAACCAGCATAGCAGGCTGAGGGTTTAGGGTTTAGGGTTTAGGGATTTCACGCAAAGGCCTTTTCATGAACCTTGCCTAGCCAATTTGCCTTCAACTTGCAGGACGAGCTTTGCGGCGAGATGCACCACAAGTGGCTGCAGAAGCACGCCAAGGCGCCCCAAAACAAGGGGAGTACGTTGCTCGGAATAATTACGAATAGTATACCCTTATGGTTCCTTTAGAAGTAATCCATAATAGCCCCTCAAAACCCTGTTCTAACCATTAAGGCCCCTATAGCGCTCGTGTTGAGCCCTCTTAAAGTCACAAACAGAACAGCGGTCGTGTTGACCACAGTCTGCATGGTCAGAAGGGTTCCCAAAGCCCCTTGTAACCCATTGTTTCTTTCTCTGTCGTAAGTTTTCTAAACAAGGGTATGAGGAACCGGAACGCAGACATGCCAAATATGATTCACTTTCCAAGTGCCACAGCAAGGCAGACTCACAAGCCATAGTACACCCCATGGGTGCTCACCAAGAAACTTCGCACAACTCTAAAACCCTAGGCCTGGAAGCCTAAGCTTAAACCCTAAACCCTAAACCCTACGCCGCAAAATGCCCCAACATGCCCCAAGGCCCTGCGACCCCTGAAGCATCGCAAGCCCCAGCACGCTGGCACAGGCCCGCGATCGGCACCTCTATCCCGCCTGTGGCCGAGTTGTGAGAACCCTCACCTTAAACCCTAGCCCCCCAAAACCCCCTAAAACCCCCTAACGGCTAGGACCCAGAGTAGGCCCTTATTCCCTTCTTTAGGGTTTAGGTTTGTAAACCAAAATGGGCACCCTTTTTATTCCTAGGTCACTCTTGGGCCTTTTATACATTCAGTTAAATGCCTCAATAATGAGGGTTTCCTGCTCGTGACATCCTTACTTCAATATCCCCATAATGCTACCTTATTGTAGGCTGTCTAAGAACCCTTTTTGCCTTTGGGTAGGGTATATGGTTTGGGATGCCAGAAGGTAGAAAGAGTCATTGCTTGTCTTGGCTAGCCCCCTAAAGCCAAAACCCTAAGCCTATCCAGGACAAGGTGCATGCCAGTGGGGAGGGAGACGGCCGGGTTCTAAAAGGGCGACTGGAGTATTCTTTGGCCCTCCAGCTCTAAGTCGAAAGGTCGAAGCCCTCATCTTAACCCCCCCCCAAAAAAAAAAAAACAAATAAATAAACAAAACACAAAATCAAGCAAACACCCTGGCTAAAAACCCTAGGCTCTTGAAAGCCCTTAACCTCTGAACCCTTCAAAACACCCAAACTCCCAAAGCCCTTTCCCAACTTAGTCGGCCCCCGTCCTCATTGTCATAGACGCGCCGGGAACCGACAAACTAAAGCCTAAAGCCCGAAACCCTAAACCCTAAACCCTAAACCCTAAAACCTAAGCCCCCCAAACCTGAAATATCAAAAACCCCAAGGGTTAGGGCAATTTAGGGAACATCCTAAAGCACTAGATGCCCTCCCTACACCCCAATACCCTTGCAGCCCATCTTCCGGAGCGTCAGTGATGGGGTTTAGGGTTTAGGGTTTAGGGTTTAGGGTTTAGGGTTTAGGGTTTAGGGTTTAGGGTTTAGGGTTTAGGGCAGCGGGCCCACTCCCTGTGTCCGAGCTCCCACGCAGTGCTCGAAGCGGAAGCCTGGCTCAGACGAGCAGAATCCCGAAGACCCTAAACCCTAAACCCTAGACCCTAAACCCTAAACCCCCTAAACCCCCTAAACCCCCTAAACCCCCTAAACCCCCTAAACCCCCTAAACCCCCTAAACCCCCTAAACCCCCTAAACCCCCAACCCCCTAAGCCCTGAAGCCCTAACACCCCAACACCCTCAACATGATTTTCTTTGTGTTTTGGTGGGGGTGGGCTTAGGGTTTTCCGGTTTGCCCGCAAGCAGCTGTGGTGAGGGCTGCATTCGGGATGTTGGTTCGAGACTTGGGTTGGGGGGGGCCAGGGTCTAGGGTTGTGGAGTTTAGCGCTTAGGGCTTAGCGCTTTGGGCTTAGGGCTTAGGGTTTAGGGACACCCTAACCCCGAACCCTAAACCCCCTACTTGGAGGTTCATGGGTGCTGATAACCACAGTGATATGTCTACTTATAACCTACTTGAGGGACTTAGGTGGCTTGTAAGTACAGTTATAATTAGGGTTATAAGTACCCTGAACCTCCAAGTACTTCAGCGCCCCAACCCAAAAAAGCACACCCAAATACCTGTCAACGTGTGCGGCACCTTAAACTGTTGGGCTAATATAGGGTTCGTAAGGGAGGGGGGTTCAAGCGGGGTATGCAACCCAAGCCTTACAAACCCCAACACTCCCTAAGCTTCCCTGAGGTTCCCTTGGGGGGGGGGGCGTGGGTGTGGAGGACAACTCTCCCCCAACCCCGATAAACCCTAACCCCAATGAACCCTTAAACACAAACCCCAAACCCTAAACCCTAAACCCTGTGAACCCTAAGATCCTAAACCCTAAAAACCTATGAGGCCTAGAACCCTAAACCCTCAACCCTATGAAACAAAACCCTAAACCCTATGAACCCTAAAACCCTAAGCCCGAAACCCTAAACCTAAACCCTAAACCCTCAACCCTAAACCCGAAACCCGAAACCCGAATCCCGAATCCCGAACCCGAAGCCCATCCTCCTGAGGAATCGAGGCCTTGACGTCATGGCGGAGAAGCCTGCCAAGCACCTGAGGTTGAGCTTGGAATGGTTTAGGGTTTAGGGTTTAGGGTTTAGGGTTTAGGGTTTAGGGTTTAGGGTTTAGGGTTTAGGGTTAAGTTTTACTGTCTCTACTTGGAGGCCCTTTTGACTTTGGAAGTCTACTTAGCATCCTTCAGAAATCCTCAAGTTAGTTTCCATACTTGCTAACCCTATACTGTGTATGTCAAAAGGGCTTCTCTTACAGCACTGAGAAAAACCTCTAAAGTGCCACATAATCGCTCTGGAACCCTAGATAACCCTAACATAACCCGACAAAATCCGCTTTTTACTCCTAGCTTCTAGGTGGCCCATAGAAAAAACATACCCTAAACCCTTAGACCCTTAAACCCTAAACCCTAAACACCCCCCCCCCCCCCCCGCGCCCCCAAATTTCCACTTCAGGCTAAAGGTCCCCATCACCAGCCTCGACGGCAGCAGCTGCGAGCTCGAGCTTGACCCCGACGAGAAGCTGGAGCTTCTTTCTTGTCATTCATGCTGTGTGGGGTTTAGGAACTGGGGTTTAGTGTTTAGGGGGAGACCCGAAACCCTAAACCCTGAACCTGGGACTCTAAAACCCCAAGTACTCTGAACCTGAGACTCGAAACCCTAAACCCTAAACCCTAAACCCTAAGCCCTAAACCCTAAACCCTAAACCCTAAACCCTAAACCCTAAACCCTAAACGTTCACGCGCGCAAGGTTCCTGAAGTCCAAGATCTCGCAGGCCTTGAACCTGTCGCTGGGCCGGGTGTCCTTGGTCTGCGATTCGAAGGTTTGGACCGACCCCAATGCGCAGCGGCTCGGGCTGGAAGAAACAGGGTTTAGGGTTTAGGCTTTAGGGTTTAGGGTTTCATACCTTGGGATATCCTATTGGGTTTAAGAGGATCATATGAAGGAACATGCTTCAGATGGTTTTTAGGGGCCATCCTAGCTCTTTAATTTGCGTTGTTTTTTTGCGGGGTTTTACGGGGGCTCTTGGTTCTTCAGGGTTTAGGGTTTAGGGTTTAGGGTTCAGGGTTTAGGGCTTGTAGGTATTTTGTCAGGGTTCAGTGGTGCCCCCTTTTGTCCATCGTGTTGTGCAAGGGTTCTGTCGCCTTCTATGTATAAATTCTCTCTGATGTTTTGGGGTTACAATGGGAACTCCCAAAAGGGACCGCAAGGCAGAGAACCGTATGTTAGAGGCTTCAAAAAGCTTTGTAGTGCTTCACTGTAACTTTAGATCCTTAGCCTTTTTGGGCTTATTGGGTTTCTGAATACGGCAGCCAAAGATTTTATTTTTTAGCTACCCTTCTGAGCGCAGCCAAGAAAATGAATACCTTAGTCCCCCTTGTTGTTGTTTAAGGGCCTTTGTCGGCCCCGAGGCTTGTTTTGTTGCTTTGTTCTTCCTGAGGTACCTTACAGGCTAGACCCTATCCAGGGCCTAAACCCCTTGAGAGTTCCCGAAAACCCAGAAAACCCTATAACCCCATAACCCTAAACCTCTAACACTCTCCAAACCCTAACATATAAACCCTATAAACCCTATAAACCCTAAAAACCCTATAAACCCTATAAACCCTATAAACCCTATAAACCCTATAAACCCTATAAACCCTAAACCTACAGCCCTAAGCCCTATTTATCCCTCAGCCCTAAGCCCTAAACCCTAAACCCTAAACCCTAAACCCTAAACCCTAAACCCTAAACCCTAAGCCCTGCTTTTTGGGAACCTAGGCTGAAGGACATCTGGCAGGAAGGGTCGACTCTCACCTTGCTGAAGAACCCGAACTGGGACGTGGCAGCGGGGCTTCGAAATTTGAAGAAATGCTGTTTAGGGTTTAGGGTTTAGGGTAGGCTTGAGTGACAGACATAGTAGATGGGTTTAGGGCTTAGGGCTTAGGGAAGAATGAGTTCTTTTGAGCTTGAAGGCCTGAAGACTTTTATTCAAGTTAAAAGACTGTCCACTTGGAACTACCCTAGGCCTAGACCCTAAACCCGAAGTGTTTTTAGGTTCATGTAAGGGCTTTATTTCTGCTTCTCAATCCCGAAGGACTGGACCCTAAACCCTAAACACAAAGCCCATCCAAACCACCAGACCTCGGTACTAGGTGGGACTTTACTACAACTTCATCACTTTATAAGTGTTGAGGGGTTCCTCTAATTTGATATATCAAGGGAGCTAAAAGTTAATCTTTTTTGGGGGATTAAAGAGCAACCAAGCAATGGCCATGTTCCCCCACTACTCGTCCTTCTCCTCAAACCCTAAACCCTAAACCCTAAACCCTAAACCCTAAACCCTAAACCCTAAACCCTAAACCCTAAACCCTAACATCATCTTTGGGGCCTTTGAGGCGAGGCTCGACACGCTCAAAGCCAAGTTTGTCAAGCATGGCAAGGCTCGTGGCCAGTGGCGCCTTATAAGGTTTAGGGTTTAGGGTGTAGGGTTTGGGGTTTAGGGTTTAGGGTTTAGGGTTTAGGGCTTAGGGTTTAGGGTTTAGGGAGCTTGCAGTAAACTTTGGAAAGTTGGAACATGGTGTAAGGATGACTAGAGATGGGATTCCCTTCAGTATACCTCTCGGGGTATAGGGCTTAGGATGTTCCAACTTATTGGAGTTTACTGCAAGGCTTTTAAAGGGTTTGGGGTTTAGCACCTTAGGGGGCTAGGGTATGGGGCTGTTCGGGGTTTAACATTTAGGGTTTAGCAGGGCTTTGCGGGTTGTAGGCTTAGGGCTCTAGGGTTTACGTGTCACTGTTGTTTTGGGTTTAGGGTTTGGTTTTGTTTTATGCTTAGTCGGGTGGGTCCTTCTTATAGTATAGTGATGCTCACCCGATACTTAGAGGTTCACGGGTAGTTGTAAGTAGGGTTATACGTACCCCAACAAGGGTCATATGAATAGTTACGATACTTAGAACCATAAACGGGGGGGGGGGGTTAGGGCGTCATGGGCCCTAAACTCTAAACCCTCAACCGTATAAACCTCGTAAGCCTCATGAACCCCAGAACCCTAAGCCTCCTAAACCCTAAGCCCTAAACCCTAAACCCTAAACCCTAAACCCCTCCGAGTTGCGAGGTGGAGCAGGAGTCCCACGGATGCCGCAAGCACGACGCAGCGCTGCCAGAGGGATGCAAGCTTCCCGAGATCCTTGTGGAGCTTTTGCCGCTGGGATTTTTAGGGTTTAGGGTTTAGGGTTTGGGGTTTGGGGTTTGGGGTTTAGGGTTTAGGGTTTGGGGTTTGGGGTTTTGGGGTTTAGGTTTAGGGTTTAGGGTTTAGGGTTTATTAGATTCGGCTTGGGGTTTAGGGTTTACAGGGTTTAGGGTTTGGGGTTCAGGGTTTAGGGTTTAGAGTTTAGGGTTTAGGGCTTAGGCTCACAAGCCCATGAAGCCCTCAACCCCGAGACCCTTTCAGGGGAGGTGCTGGGTTGTTGGGGTTTAGGGTTTAGGGTTGATTTGTATTTGGGTGTCCCCCTTTTTTGCGAAACTTAACATTTGCCCCCAAGTCTAGCTGAGCCTTTGTAAAAGCTGAGCACAGGAAGATGGGCGTCAAATGGACCTTCAAAGACTTGTTCCATTGCGAGATGTTCGTGCTCACAGACGATGCCAACATGGACATTTACGGTGACGAGGACTCTGTGGTGCTTTACTGTAACTTTAGATCCTCAGCCTTTTTGGGTTTATTGGGTTTCGTAATAAGGCAGCTAAGAATTTAAATTTATAGCTACCCTGCTAAGTGCAGCCAAGAGGAATGCCGCCAGGATTGGCAGGAAGAGCATGGCGAGGATAGCTGTGCACACCCATGGTGGGTTTGCATTGGGAACTCCTCCGAGTATGACTTCTACTACCTGAACACCAAAGAATCTTCCCCGACCTTCGGACAGGTCAAGCGCATCGTGAACAATTGCGACGAGGAGACGGTCTATACTGAGGCACCCTTCGACAACTACCTTGACGCAGTGGAGCGCTACGTCAACGACCAGGAGAAACTTGACCCGGAGGCAGAGGAGGAGGACGAGGACTACAAGAACTTCTCAGAGTACAATATCGAGCCGAACGGACGCAAGATCCGGAAGAAGCTGAGATTATGATCAGAGCGGGCAAGAGGCCTTTGCTTAGTCGTAGCGTGTGGCGCGTGTAGCTGTCATATGGTATGCTGCCAGCATCCGAATTATTGTTCTCAAGCTGCTACACAGCGGATCGAAGCCGCGAGTCTGCTATACTGGCAGATGTCTGGCACAGCTCAGGGCATGTGGAGCCGCCACATGTTCCTGTGCACCATGGCTTTATCGACGCGAGGTGCCTTTGGCATTCATCGCGTGCTATCGTCGGTTCTGAAAATCCGCCTCAGGTTTGTTAACGTTTCGCGCGAAGTCTGAAACCTAAATCCTGAACCCCGGCACCCCGTTCGTTGCTCACCCATTCCTGGAAGCTGACGAGCGGCGTTTGCGCTGCCTTGCTTTTGTACTGTTGAAAGGGTAATGGACCAGCACTAAACCCTGAGCCCTAAACCCTAAGCAGCAGCCAATTGTGAGCCCTTGAATTTTAGGTTCAGAAGCCTATGTTTTGGGGGCCCCAAGCTCCTATGGGCCGAGGGCTTCTTGAAGAAGGGACTTCATTGAATCGGTTTAGGGTTTAGGGCCGTAAACCCTAAACCCTAAACCCTAAACCCTAAACCCCAAACCCTAAACCCTAAACCCTAAGCCCTAAACGTTTGTGGTTCCTTTGAGCCCTGGATCCTTGAATAAAGGATGCTTCGGGTAACCTGGCATCCCGTGCCTCTCCGTCGCTGCGCTGACTGAACTTAGGTCTACTACGCGCTGAAGAATGTCGACAAGGCCCCCTACTTAGGGTCTGCACGCTGGGGTGCTTTACTGTAGCTTTAGATCCTTAGCCTTTTTGGGTTTATTGGGTTTCTTAACAAGGTAGCTAAAAATTAAATTGATAGGTACCCTGCTAAGTGCAGCCAAGTACAGGGCTCAGGGTTTAGGGTTTAGGGTGCCCTACTCAAAGATTATACAGAGATCCCTGTTCCTCTGGATCGGGTTTGCAGGGGAGTCACGGATTGATCAGCCACCTAGACCCCTAGACCCTAGGCAAGGGAGACGCTGGAAGCAGATCAACGTCGGCGAGAGGTGGCGCGGGATCTGATCTCGCAGGGCCCGGGCCTGAGGGGGGGGGAGCTTTTTGGGGCATTGGGGTGTAAAGGGTTTTGGGTTTTGGGTGTAGGGTTTGGGGTTTAAGTTTGGGAAGACTGAGCATGATCATGGCTTCTATAGGGTTTTGGGTTTGGGGTATGGGGGCGGGCGGGGTGATGGGGATGGGGTTGTCCTTAATTAGGGTCACCTTTTTCGGATACTTTGTTTCTTTAAAGGGGAGAGACCCAGGAAAGATCGCGTAAAGCTCGCCATCCCCAGTGTTTGCAAGCAGGCGTAGGCCTTAGAAAGTGTAGGGTCGTAAGGTTCAGGGTTTCAGGGGCTGGGGGCTTACAGCCACCTGTGTCGGAGGCTTGGGGTTTGCTTTGATTGTGGAGGTCTGGGACGTGGGTTGTTAGGGCCTTTGCGGTGTGCATGGCGCGCGTGCAGCAATTTAGTCTGGCATTCGTACTGGTTCCCAGTAGGGAATGAGGGAATTAGATACCCTATATCATCCCTGAAAGGGCCATACGTAGCCGGAAAAAAGGTGCCTCTAAGAACCAGCAAGCATTTCAATAGTAGGAAAAGGAATATTATTACACCCTGAATCCCAAACCCAACGCCCCCGATGGCATTAGGATAGTAGCATTCCCAAAGGGTTTCGGGCTTAGGGCCCAGGATTCGCGGCTCTCCTTGACAAGATACAAAGCTTCGCCAAAGCTTCGCAAAAAAAAGAATCTCAAACCCTAAACCCTACTGTCAACCTCCAGCAAAGTGAATGCCATGTTACGAGCGCGAAGTCGTCAGGGAAGCCGCCGCAAGCCTATCTACAGAACAACACCCGATAAACCCTAAACCCCCAACAGTACTCTCTCTGATAATCCAAACTGGCCCTAAAACCCTGTAAGACCTATGAACACCTACCAACAAGACCCACAAGCCCCCAAATTCCCAGTTGCTTTTCTTCCCTAATCCCCAAACCCTAAACCCTAATCCCTAAACCCGAAAAGCCCCCCAAACTCCCAATTGCTTTTCTTCAGGTCCCAGGGAGCGCATTCATCTCTCGACCGCTGCTCGCAGCGGCATCAGCAAGGCCGAGCCTATGGACCCTGGGTTCTTATGGGGTGTATATTTAGGGTTTAGGGCTAAGGGTTTAGGGTTTAGGGTGTAGGGTTGGGGTTTCTATATTTTGTTCATAAGGTTTGTGGGGTTTAAAGGGTTGTCGGGTGTGGGGATAGCGTTACAGGGTTCATACGGTTTATAGGTTCTGCAGGGTTTACATTGTTTGCAGGATTTAGGGTTTAAATGGTTTTGTAGGGTTTTGATTGGACACGTACAGGGCTTCGATGTTTGGAAGCTTAGGGGCTTTAAGGGGCCCTAGGTTTTTTAGGCCTTGTAAGGGGTCCTATAGGGCTTAAGGGTTGAGAGTGTGCCGTAGAAGAGTTTAGAGTGCCAGGGTTCAGGGTGGCTTTTTTGGAGCTACTTAGGTGCGTAGCAGGCTATGGGGGTATCGCCCTTTTTGGGTTCTTGGTTCCCTTCTAATACGCAACCAACCCCCCCAAAAAGCATGCCCTTAGGGTTTAGGGTTGAGGGTTTAGGGTTTAGGGTTTAGGGTTTTAGTGTACCAAAGGTATGTGAGGACTCCGAACGACGAAAAGGGGGATTCTGTAGGGCAGCGGGATAGAGGGTGCCATGCAGGGTTTAGGGTTTAGGGTTTGGGATTTAGGGTTTAGGGTTAAGGGTTTAGGGTTTGGGGTTTACGGTCTAGGGTTTAGGGTTGATTTTCCACATGTTGCTCAGGGCTTGAACCTTGGTTGCGGATAGTTTTGTGGGTGGTTGACATGTATGATTGCATAGTCTTCGGGATCTCGGGTTTGGGGGTTTGGGTGTTAGGGCTTTGGGTTCAGAACTTTAAGGGCTCGGGGGTTAAGAGTTTAGGGATGCCTGTTCCTCGCCCCCCATCTCTCCCCAGACCGTGGGGCTTGATAAAAAAACTCACTGTCCCTTTTGGGGTCAATTATACAGTAAACCCTAAACCCTAAACCCTAAACCCTAAACCCAATTTTGCTATACAGTATGTTCCATTCAGTCTATCACAACATGGACCCCATAATTTTGCAGCAAGCCCCAAATAGAAGCCCTCAAGTCCACGCAGTTCCACCCTAAACCCTAAACCCTGAACCCTAAACCCTAAACCCTAAACCCCAAGCCCCCAACCCCAACACCTTAAATCCGCACGCGCGCGTCAGATGAAGAGCGCCGTGAAAGCGATCCGCAACTTCCGAAGCGCCGCGGTGGCTCGGCAGCGTGTTCGAAAACACCCTAGTTTTAGGGTTTGGGGTTTAGGGTTTGGGGTTTAGGGTTTAGGGTTTGGGGTTTAGGGTTTGGGGTTTAGGGTTTAGGGTTTAGGGTTTTGGGTTTGGGGGTTTAGGGTTTAGGGACTTGAAATCGAATTCCCATTAGGGTTTAGGGTTTTGAAATCGAATTCCCAAAACTTTGTTTGGGGATCTGGCTACAGAAAAAGCACGTTCTAGGGTACATGGCTTAGTGGCTTAATTAGGCTTTTAAGACCTAAGCCTTGTAACCCCAAACAAGTAGCAGCCCTCTTCCTTTACATTCAACTGGCGGGCTCTTAGTAGGGAATGAGGAATGAGGTACCCCGTGGAATCCCTTAAAGGATACATCACCATCTGGGTACCCTATATAATCCCTAAAGGGTATCTATAGAGCCCTAATTCCCTCATTCCCTACTAAGAACCAGGGGGGGGGGGGGGGTCTTGGGCTCTCCGCGTCTGTATGAAGATGGCCTCACATCCCACCAAAGAACCTCAACCCGGAAGCCCAAACGGCCGAAACCTTGAAGCTGGAAGGGTTTAGGGTTTAGGGTTTAGGGTTTAGGGTTTAGGGTTTAGGGTTTAGGGTTTAGGGTTTAGGGTTTAGGGTTTAGGGTTTAGGGTTTAGGGTTTAGGGTTTAGGGTCCCAAGATCTAGGGTTGAATGCTTAGGGCTAGAGCCTCTACATAGATTGTACCGACTTGTAGTCATGTTGTCATGTGGTCCATACTTTGGAAGGGTTGGTGCAGCCACCCTAAACACTAAACCCTAAACCCTATACCCTATAAACCCTAAACCCTAAACATAACCCATGTCATGGAAAGCACTACTTGAAGGTTCATGGGTAGCTACCGGTAGGGTTGGAAGTGTGGTACGTCCACTTAGAACCTGATGTAGGGTACTCGTAGCCCGACTTACAGCTACCCCAAACCCCTTAGCCCCTTAACCCCTAAACCCTAAACGCTAACCTTATTTTGGGCACATACAAGCCTGCTTGTAGCTACGCGTGAACCTCCAAGTACCACAATGACTTCCTGAGAGATCCCTGCAGAGCCCTAAACCCTAAACCCTAAACCCTTAACCCTTAACCCTAAACCCTAAACCCTAAACCCTAAACCCTAAACCAAGCCCCCGAAAAGGACTAGGAAACCCGGGCCTTGAGGCCGCAACCCCCAAACCCGAAACCCTGTGAACCGATCAACCCTGTAACCTCTAGAAACCCGATAAACTCTACAAACCCATTAAAACCCTGTAAACTCCATAAAGCCTATAAACCCTATCAACCCTAAACCCTAAACCCTAAACCCTAAACCCTAAACCCTAAACCCTAAACCTAGGCGGAGAGCGCCCTTGCGAAAGGAGATGTTGCTTGCACCTCAGACAGCGGAGCATGTAGCAGCTTGCCATGGCCTTCTCCAGAATTTGAGATCTGAACCGGGAGGGGGTTTAGGGTTTAGGGTTTAGGGTTTTGGGTTTTGGGTTTAGGGTTTAGGGTTTAGGGCTAGGTTTTAGGATTTAGGATTTAGGGTTTAGGGTTTAGGGTATAGGGTTTAGGGTTACCCTAAACCCTGAACCCAGAGCCTAAACCCTAAACCCGAAGCCTGTTCAGTACCTTCTTTTGGG